GCCAAAGAGAGCATGAGCTGCGCTGCGATGAATGAAAACCCTGCCACTCTTCCTTACCAAAACGCCGAAAAGCAAGATCCTTTTCCAAGAAAAACATCGCTCGATAATCGTCAGTTTGTTGCGCAACAAAATTATCTTGATCTCGTCACTGGTCCTCCCACGACAACCTGGAACATCTTCAGGTCACGATAGAATGGCTCACGCTGTACCTCGTGCTGGGCGGCGCAAAAGCCGAATAGCCGGGCGGCATCTCTTCTCGTGTACCAACACTCGCGCTGCGAGCCGTCTCAGGGCTTGGAGGCGCAACACTGCGTGGAGCAAAGACATCAGAGGCAGCTCTGAATGCCGTCTCCTCGACACTCCTCGCCCTAGCATTCTCAATACCAGTATCACTGCCTTCGGCGCAGATCTGTATCGGGACCTTCAGATGTATACTGGAGCTTCCGTGGGCGGAGAACTGCAGCGCGAGGGTATATGTTCGTGAGATGAGGCAGGAATGGAATGTCGGTATGAAGTTTTGTGTCATAGGAAGGGTGATTGGCACCAAGATCTGCGCTGTGTAGAAGGCACCTTGCTTGTATTCCTTGGATGCAGGGAGGATGCCAATCGCAAAGGCCTTCTCCGCTTCGCTCAGAGTTGAGCAATCGCTAATACCAGAGTCGCGTCGAACTAGGCTTTCTGGACTAGGGTTTTGTGCCGCATCGTGCTTTTCCCACTGGGCGGAGGCGATGCAAAGATTGGACAGCGGCACGTATTCGGAGTACAGGCCTTGCGACAGATCGAACCCGAGCGTAGACCGCGTTGGTAGATTCTGTCTAGGAGCTGAGGCGTAGTAGGTCACGACCTTCATCTTTGTTCCTAATGAACCGAGTTTCGGTGGTGCGCTGGTCTCCTCTGTGGGATCAAACCGGAGAACTAACTTGGCCATAGTCGTGATTGTTCTGCCCTCTGTTGATCTTGCGCCCGGAATGACAAGAGGTGGCGGCTGAATAGTCTTCGCAGACAACGTCCCGAGCTTTCCTTTGAACAAACCCTTCTTGACTGTCTTTTCCTGTCGCGATCGGTACTCGTCGTTGTGGTCAATGTTCAGCGGGGGCTGCTCTGCAAAGGCTGGCTTCACGCGCACTTTTTTCAGCTTATCAGCAAGCACCGAGATGCCTTCTGATCCGCGAGTGTGCGCAATTTTGACTTGGATTCCGTAGGTGATCTTTGACATTTCCGGCGCAAGGTCATCAAGCAGTGTACTGCCAAAACCAGCAAGATCGGGATCGCCAATGCTGGGTGGTAGTGAGAGATGTACGTCGCGTATGTGATCCGAGACTACTGGATGCGAGCAGGCTTTTGGTAGTAGTTGCGAAGGGATGGTAAATGTGAAGGGAAACTTGTAGGGTCTTCCAGCTTCAAAAATTCTTGGGGAGGGGAAGTTTGATTGGTCTATTGGCTGTCTAAGAGTCAAAAACCGGTGCTTTGCCTCTGTTCGTCCTGTCATTGTTGGCGTAGTCGTCATCCTATCCACATATACCTGGCTTGTACCTGTGTTATGTCAGATACGATAATTGCGAAGTTCGTGTGTGATCTGAGCTTACCAGTGAATGCGATGTCGATGTCCTCAAAACGAGTGTCGTGCGGTGCAGTGATGGTGACTGTTCCCTCGATTGTATCCATGGAAGAATAGCTGGTGATGAACTTGTGGCAGTGGCCATTGCTGTCGTTGAGATCGATCACGATGGTAGGCTGGCCATGATGCGAGATGTTGCGGACCTTATAGCCGATTTGATTGCCCAGCGCCTGCATCCTGTCTGGTGGCGCAAACACTGATGTGTTCGATGAAGAAGACATGTCGATGCTGTCGCGTGCCTTAAGGTAGGCTTGCTAGTTGCAATAGCCAAGGCAAGGTCGCACCAGAAAGCGGGGAACAATCCTGCTCAGATAAGACGTCTCGAATGCGGAGAAGCTGAGAGCTGGGCAGCTGGGGTAGTGCGAATAGGCAGAGATCAGACTAGTAGGTGGCGAGTGAAGATAAGACGTCTGCTCCAGGACTGCACCACAAACAAGTGGGCCTTAAGGTTGTCTTATACATGGCACTCAGGCACGCCCTGGGTTGAGTCATTTGCAAGCGGCACAAAACTAGGGCTGGTAGGTGATGAGAAGGTTGCATGCTGCAGATGGATGATGCGCTGAGCGATGGCTTGCTTTGCCGTCGGATACGCGGGGGAGTCATCCTGCATCCATCACAAACCACGCCCTTGACTCCAATAGCGTCGTGCGCTAAGCCCATACAGGTGCCTGTCTCTACATTTCCGCAAAGCTGAGTGCAGGACGACATCAAGATGTCTCCACAAGTCAAACGGTCTCGAATGTGCTTTTCTCAATTCCGTGATGTTGCCCGTCGCGATCGTGCTAGCTTGCGGCGCACCCACCAACCATAGCGGTACTCTGGCGGTCAGTTATGTGCCTCAAACCAGCCCTACAGGTTCTCATGCCACAAAAGTTGAACAAGCGCGACACGTTCCTGACTACTCGCGCTGAGAGTACACGACGGGTGGATACCTTTTGTCATAGGCTTCATTGCAAATTTTCAACGTTATGCCGTTAAGTGGTAGAGTCAATAAACGTCGCGTTTCAACCTCATCCAACAATCGGGGCTCTCCGAAGTTGCGTTTGTTAGCAAATTTTCCCTTTGCTTGCAGCTAAAAAACTTCTAGAAAAGGGGCGGCGCCTGATGGACCATCATACCCTTGTGGTAGTAGATACAGTAGTACATGGTTGACTGTTGGCGGCTTAATTAGGTATGCATATCGGCGTCGCGGACGTATGAAACTTGCATGTAGGGCGCACGCGCACGCGTTGGAGAAGGGCGCGCTGGTGATTAATCAGCGCCCTTGTCTTGCTCCTGGCCATTCAGGACGGGCCGATGGCGGTAGCGGCTTACTTTGCTGTGAGATGCACGGCATAGCAGCTGAACTCCGATGGCATGCTATTCCGAAGCATGCAAGTTTTCCACCGTATCGCATTCCTGGCGGAAACGTATCCTGTGTCCGTTGGAAAAGCCGTGAGCGTGACTGTCGTTGCCTCAGCTACTGCAGGTTCTCCGGTGATAGGAGTACCTGATGACAAAACAAATTCCACCAACAGATTGATGGTAAGCAACGGCAGAGGTAAATGCGGTGTCGGAGGTTTGGCGACAATTGGGTGATGCTCTGTTGTACATGCGATGCAGGTGGTGTTGCGGGATGATCCAGGGCACGGGCTGGGATGACGGAGGAACCTTCCGCGAACGTCATCTCGCCATCAGGAGCTCCGCGCTCAGCTATCGCAGCACCAGTGCAACTTCTCAACTCAAAAGACACGACGCGGGTCAATTCCGCACGCGACGAAGAAGAACGCGCTCACCCTACGGCGTAGAATGACGATTGCACCTCACCCCTCACCCATTGCCTTGCGTCTTCACCTACCACCGTGACGGCGAACAAAACCCTGGAACCATAGACACTATCACCTTGTACAACGGAAAAGCTGAACAGGTTTGCAGCCTACATTAGGATAAAATTATGCAAATTAGGTGATCTAACGTCAACGTAGGCTCCGGGTGTTCAGTATGGCCGAAATCCCTACTCCTCCAGCGTCGTCCGCGCCGTCACAGCACGCGTCGCCCCTCCCACAATCACGCAAACACCCACTCAAGCCCGGCGGCCCAAGGGAATCTGATCTGATACGCTACCTCGACCATGGCGTCAACAGCATCCAGAAGCGAGTGGACAACCGTATGACGAACCGAAAGCTTAAGCCAGCGCCGGGCGAGGAGGAAGGATACAAGGCGTTCTGGGAAGTCGCAAAAGACCTCGATGGCCTGGTAGATGTTGTCTGGGTGTCTGGATCACCGAACCTCCAGATACCCTATCTGCTCAACCTCGCCGTCCTCACCGCCGACTTTCTCCCACTATTCGATTCCTCAACGCGTTCCGCTCAGGCTACTTTCCGTCTTCTCTCGAAACTCGACTACGCCTTCTCCTCTTTACTTACCGGGCACGATACTGCGACCGGAGAGTTCTTACCTGGGTTTGAGAATGGTCGTACAGTCACCACAACGGACAAGGTTCGCTTGAAGGGCGTTGTAGACCGGACTAGGCTCACGGTCACCCGTGTAATGAGCGGAGACAGCGTGGTCGGTGACGAGGGCGATGTAGGTGAGGCTATGGACACGGATACAGAAGGAGAGGCAGAGGCACAGGCAGAGGCAGGGGGACGTCAAGGCACTGTGACTTTTGAAGGCTTCGAGGATAATGACGACGATGAGGAAGATGAGGACTGGGAAGAGCGCGGTGTTGCGAGTGTGTACGAAAAGACTATAGGCGAGTTAGGCGATGTCCTAGGCGGTCCACCGATTGGCATCATTACCGACGACTGGGGCGTCAACGGCAACGAGCAGCAAAGAAGCGGCGGAGGCTTCGTTGAGTCCGGGGGTGAAGTCGAGCTCTGATGCATGGTATCGGCTGCCGTCAGCTGCGCACCCTTTTGAGGCGAAATTATACGCAAACTAGGCGTTCTTTGTAAGTATCTCCTCGTGCGCATAGGACTCATTACGACTGGGATGGTTAACTCAGTCTTCTCTCTACATGGTCTACCGGCGCGTCGGGGTTTCTCAAAGCTGCTTGATTTGCATCTCCATCACTTATATTCATCGCGTGTATATTCTCATAGCCAAATCCACTTTCATGGCACCTGGGTACATTTAAGATTGCCATACGTCAGGTGGGATGTGCATTGACGCAAGTCTGGCCACGGCGGCGAGGACGAGTGCGCGGAAAGAGCACTGGAGGTACCTGCCGGAAACGGAAGCCCACGATATACGTCACGCGATTTCAGCAGCGCTCGGTCACCGCAACGCGTCCCCCATACACCCCCACCATGCTCGACACGCTCTAGACGGCCTTACCGCACCCAACCGACTCGAGAATACCCAATCGCCGGGCAGTGCGGCATTGCCTCTTGCGACGGCCATGTCGTAATACGTGTATATTCTTTCACCTGCAAATATGCCTACCTACTTCGCGCGTGGCGTCTCGGTGCGCCTGGGCGCGATTCCGCTCGGTGATACGACTACAGCAAAGATCATACTGAGAAAGGGGGAGGCAGCCAAGCAGCAGTCTGCATTAGCTGAAAAGAGGCTGTTGGGGAGCAAGTTGTTGAAAGAAGAGCAGGTGCCTTTCCCCGGTGATGACGCCGCCTTCCAGCTCAACTGGCTCGCAAAAGCACCTTTTATGCAGACCCGGGTCGGGAGTGACATATACGAAGAGGAAGCTCCTGGGGACGCACAGGGTGCGCCGAAGGGTGCGTACCTTCTGCCTAATACTAATAGCACCACCGCGGCTAACGATAGCTTCTCAGATGTCTCGCAGCGCACACTGAAAGCACTTACCCTCCACGTCAACCTCTCCGACCAGACCTATGTCTCCGGCCTCTACAACCAGAGAACATCGCTCAAGATCGAAGTCTTCTTCAATGGAACACTCGCCGCATGTTTGGCCATGCCCAACTACGACGGCAAATCTGGCTCGAAAGACCATCACCAGGTCTTCGCGGGCACTAGAGTCGACTTTCTCGCTGAGCGGCCATGGATCATCCTACCACCCGGAGTCGCCGCAGATGGCAGTACTGCGAAGAACAACACACCACCTTCGGTAGAACAGCGATGGCAACACATTGGCCAGGCGCTCCAAGCTGAAGCACGCGAGCGGGGTACCGACGAACAAGGCAACATTCCTCCTACTGCCGAGTTCCTCCATGCGCTTGCGACAACGCAGATGCCGGAGCAGGTATACACTGTGCAGAGGCCAGGTGGGAAGACTTTCGGGGTCATCGACGTAGTCATCACATCTGGAGAGGGTAGGAAGCTCACTAGCGGCGTGGGCTATTTAAAGGCACCGAAGCGCATGATCGACGAGAGTTACCCGTTCGTGCTCGGAGCCGACGGCAGTACTATGCATCTACGTGTCGATGCGCCTGGTAAGAGAGAGAGTGACGCGGAACCTCAAGATACCATGGAGCCGACCTCAGAGGTCATCGACGTGGATGCAGAAGGAGACAGCGATCCAGAGTATGGGTCTCATACAAAGAGACAGGCTCTCCGGTCTGGAGTGCAGTCGAAACAGGATATGTCACCTGTCTTGCCATCAGCTCTAACCGTGGAACCCTTGACGCTGTCAAGTCCACCACTCGCCGGTGTCGGATCAAGCATTCCAGCACTGATAGCACCAAACATTACAGATGCAAGAATTACGTATTCACCAGTTCGAAGAAGTGCAGATACCTCCAACATACCGCGTGCACCGGAGACTGGACGAGCGCATACGCACGATGCAGTACGCATTCCAGAAGCGGAGCTCACGTCGCGTGCAGGGTTCACTCCGAAGATGATAAATTCAGATCTGACCCCAAACTCGCAAACGACTCACATGCTCCCATCACCATATACCTTTCAATTCTCGGATCCAACACTGGGAGGAGTCGCACCCAGTGATCTCATGCGTCAGATACCGGGCGACAACGCCGGCCTGACGTCTAGTCCGCTCGATCGCTTTCCCACGGCTTTTCAGGGCCCAGGTTACCAGTACGCATCACCTTTTCCTACACATTTACCAGGGCTCAGGCAAGCACCCTCAAGTCATAGGCCGCATGCGGGTTCTCTGCCTGGAGAACCACGTGGTGGCTTACCCGAAAGCCAATACACGCGTCGAGACTACACCATGTCCGGTATGGGGCCCAACTTCTGCGGAGCTCCCGAGAGCTACAAGCCAAACATGTTACCACAAGTCGCAAACCTCCATGGATATCAGGAATCTCGGCCACCACACCTGTCATTTCCGCCGTTTGATCGCAGACTGTCCCTGCCGTTACCGCCAGCAGGTTTGTACTCAGTACCTACAAAGCCAAAACGAAGTGTCTCTCCGAAGAAAGCATCTCCTCCAAAACAGTCGATGAAGACAAATTCCAACATCGTGGTCAGACGCTTGGTAGTCTATGGGCAAGATAGATCAATTATAGTGGATCATAGGTGGGAGCCTGAACTGCGTTTAGACTTGGCTTCCAATCGCCCCGTCCAGAATCCGACTCGACAGGATATCGTCCCAGGAGATCGTGAACAGAAGAGATCTATTGATTCAGAGAAGGCAAGCACCGAATTTCGCGGGTCAAGAAAAAGTACGGTCCGGATGGGAACGCCGCCGCCTACATCGCCATTAGAGCACGCGAAGACTGACCTGCCCCTCGCTATCGACAATCCACAAGAGACCAGCGCTTTCCAACCGAATGTTGTGTTTAAACAACCCGCATCTACTGTCAAGAACTCCATCCTAACGGGTGAACGACCTGAAGTAGAGGAGGTCAAGCTGCATGGTGACCAGCCGGATGCTGACTCAAGCAACCAGAGTATACATGCAACCGAATCAAGACTCTCGCGTCGTACAACTTCTAGCAACAACATTCTTGGTATACAAGGCCCAAAGGCAAATCCATTCTGGTTCGAGGATCCAGAAGAGATACTTCGTGAAGCATCTGCGCGACTACGTCGATCTCGCTCTTTCGCCAAACCGAGAAACACGCCGGATGCAGCACCATCGTCCAAGATCGCAGTACCGGTCGTCGAGAACTCTAAGATCTGGGACACCGCTACATCTTCCCCTCTATCCAGCCTACATACAACCCCTGAGCCTGATATGGAGCCCATTTCATACACCCGGTCACCTCAAGTACATATTGGTTCGTCTCCTGCTCCTATCCCGCAAGCAGATGGCTCACCGGAACGCAAAACCTTGCGCGGATCACGTCGCGGCAACGAAACCCCGTCCCCAGTGAAGCTCACTTCAACTCTCACGACACCTCAACTTGCGCGCCACGAACCCTCTACACCTCAATCCTCGGCTACGAAGAAACGTAAGAACCTCCACCGCACCTTACCGAAGGAGCCTCGCAGTCCCACACGTCTGAAGACGAACAACAACCCACCGCTGAACCGAGATTGTGTCATCGCGTACGCAGAGAGCAAGGACAAGAAGAACAAACAGGGCATTCTAAGGCAGGTGAAGAGTGAGAGGCAGGGAGTGTTCAGTGAGAACGATGTCGTTTTTGCGGCTAGGTTCTTCGTGGAGGATTGAAAATATGCTAAGTGGCCTGTGGACGATGAAGTAGAAGCATGCATGAGACATGCAGAGGATGTATGTAAAAACTGTACGCTCACGATGTACGAGCCTCGATGTTCTTCGATGCATCGAGCGCAATGAGAGGTCCTGTAATTTACATCTTGTACAAAAGTGTCTGTTGATCCTAATCGAGGGATAACCAACGCGTGTAGAACAGCGATGTAAACCTGCACCATGACAGACATTCGCCGCGCTTAGAAAGTGGCAGGTTCTGAGATGGCGTCATCGTCATCGTGTAGTCACGTGTCGCGCGTTTCCAGTCTAGCCCGGGCACGGCCCCAGAACGCGGATCGGTTCACGCGTGTGCGAGCGCGAACATGACCACGATGAACGCCTGGCAACCTCCGACAGATCCGGGCTCCATGCACGGAAGCTATCGCAACTCAGCGAACCTGTACATTCACTCTAGCACGACAGATGAGAACGTCTGCGCGCGCTCCAATAGGCACGCCTGGAATGCTAGAACGAACCATGGCTCGCCCTCTGAGTCAACTGCGCCCGGCTAATATCTAGCAACTGTATCGCATCTGTTGAAGAGTACAACGTAAACTTTGCAGATACTCTAATAGCAATCTAGACCACCTATTCTCCTCGCAGAGCTGCCACCATGGCGCAAGCAGAGAACGAACACGCGAGCGATAACCCTCGAGACGGCTTCCAAACGAGTTCGGCGCGCGCATTGGGCGACAACCCCATAGATCTCCACGTTATCGGTCGCGGCACATGCGGCACCATCTATACCTGCGTGGATCTCTCCACAGCTGCATACAAGATTGGTCGGGACCGAGACGCCCTATGGAATGATATACGGCTGACTGCTCACGTACATCGGTCGCTGACGGAGTCAGAACGCGACTGGAAAATCAAAGATTACACTCCCAGGGTGCCAGCTACCAAGGGCTGGATAGCAAATGAAGCTAAAGAAGACTTCTGGGCAGAATTCTCCGGCTGTTTCACGGAAGCCGAAGACAGGAAGACATCACCGTTCCTGTTTTCCCTGTCCCTTATTCCTACATTAGCCCCTGAGGTTCGACACGCTCTGATAACGCGCTACGAGTTCACTACATCCAAAGCCGCGGTATTCGCCAATCCCGAGAACGACTTTTGTCTTGCGCGACCATATCTTGGACTGGCAACACGCAAGGACGAATCGTTGTGCAGGTCAGACAATCTTTGGAACTTTCCTCTGACAAGGGAGGACCTCAGATCGTTTCCATTTGACAATAACCTGACGACGGAGTTGGCGAAAGAAATGGCTACAGGACTGTCTATCATACATTGGCACGCTCTCGTAGACGGTATGGATATCGAGTTTGTACTTGGTGGAGTGAATGATTGGGATGAGGAGCAAGTCATTCTTGCTGGCGATCTGAAAACCTCCAAGCCCTTCTGCTCTTCCTCACCGCCGAATCTCGTTCTCGGCGCCCCGATGTCGAAACCCAACTGGAGACAGAACCGATGGGACCGAACACATCATATGTCAGATGAAATGCGCCTTTACATCCTCGATTTCGACAAAGCCTCGCTACTCTCCTTCGATCGACCCGAAGCCGCCATACAGCGATTAGTCACAGCGGTGACCTGTAACGATCCATACTTCCCCGATCCTGCTGCTACAGAAGACGGAGGTAGACAGTTGTGGAATGCTTTTAGGGCGACATACCTCGAGACTGCACACTCTGTGTCAAAGCCCCTTCGACGGACGTATGGGAGACGAGCGAGAGGCTGGCCATTGTGGTTTATGGGACAATGGGAGAAGAAGGCGGAACAGCTGTCGGAAGGAAGGCACGGCGAGTTCATCGAGTTTGGGGATTAATAACCTACCGCGGTATTCTGAGTTCCAAGTCGCTATGGAGGTGTACGTCATGTTTTCGTTGTACATGCTGTGGCTTCATGCGGATGGTGTGATTCGTGTCGCCTCGGTACTGGCCCAATGTCAGCTGCCAAGTTTTCTAGGATTGCTCAGCCGTACTGCCTCCTTTCTAATTGCTTACTTTACCTCCTCACTACGCCTCTCAATCGATATGACTGTCTTGCGCCTAACAGTGGAAGCTCGGAATGTACCTTTCAGCGAGAGTTGTTCGCTATGTCAACAAACAACATAAGCACCGATGTCCCTGCCAACCCAACGCAGGTCCAGAAGGCTGCCTCTACCCGATACTCGCCTCTTTTGCATGACGGTGACAGCTTTCGACTTCTGCGCGTGCTGCCTAGCCTGCGCCAAGGTTCTCCATTACGATGCGAATCATTCACGTCTTCAATCTCACGCGAACGAGACCAATATATCGCTGGCTCTTATGTCTGGGGTCCGCCCGAGCCGAAAAGATCTATACTCCTGGATGGCGGGCCCTTTCAAGTGCGAGACAATCTCTTCCGCTTTTTGAAAGCTTTCCGCAGCCGTTACCAGCCGCGAGTTATATGGCTAGATGCCATATGCATCAACCAAGACGACATTCAAGAGCGGAGTCATCAAGTTCAAGAGATGAAACGAATATATTCTGGTGCCAAGTGCGTTTACAGCTGGCTCGGCTACGACAAATCGTTGCCTCATACTGGCATTTTCAACCGACAGTACGTAAGCGAGTTGTACTTTTGGTGCCTAAGAGATGAACGCCAACGTAAACGACAAAGATCTCAGTTAGAGTACATTGCGAAAGCCGAGTATTGGTCGCGGATGTGGATCGTCCAGGAATTCATTCTTGCACAGGACGTCCACTTATTGTTAGGAAAAGACAAACTTTCCTACAGTAAACTGGATAAGATCATGCAAGGTGCTCTTCTCTTCGACAGTTCAACTGGAATAACGCCAACTAAATATAACATGTTCGCTCTCCTCAACTATCGAAGTGAGTGGAAGACCTTTGAGGGATTATTCGAAACTTTTGGAATGTTACCTCGATCAGTCCCTCTAGACGGTGTTTTCGCTTTACTTGGTCTACTGGAAGGAACTGAAAAAGACTTGAGGCTTATCAGTATCGCCCATTATAACCTCAGCGTATGGCAGCTCCTCCAGCAAATTCTAGCGCTAGACATTGTCAAGTCTTCCCTTTTCAAATTTGCCGAACAGTACAATCGTTATGTTATCGAAGGACAAAGAGACGACTACATGGGCGGTTACGTTGGTCTGAAACTGATGGAAGCTCCATCTATGCAACCACGCGGTGCCGATGACAGTCGGCACGCGCGCACTGGAGGTTCCCTCCTGGAGATTGCTATGGCTATACAAACATCCGGAGCCATCAGGTATTGCAAAGGGACCGGCGACGATATTCTCGAAGTTGCAATGTACACACCACGATGGCGCACCATTTCTGGGCAAAGTGGCGTATCAGTCGGACTGTCCTGGTGTCGTGTACAACCAGCGTCATTGGAATTTCTTTATACGAGAGTTCTAGTTGAAGCTTGCGACTCACGATGCGCCACTACCTGCGCCACTCATGCAGTTCTTGGCTTCTCATGGACCATTTGCCGCCATGGTAAGCGGATCGGCGATCTAGCACCGACTGCATCAATTGATGTACCGCTACTCGCCTCTTTTGCCTCAGGAGATGTTTCTCAGCTTATTCACAACATCCAGCAACGGTCAACGGAGACGGTAGAAGGTATAAGCGGCAAGGTACGCATGACGGCGAACGACAGATACAGATTTCAGAGCGGAACCCCGTACAAACTAGAGACGGATGTCGAAACCATGGTAATATTGTCGACCTTTATCAGAGATCTGGAAACTCATAACGGATGGAGAGGATTGTTGGAGCTGGCAATGGACTGGATACGAAAACCAAAAGCTGAAGAAGATGCTACAAGCCCCAAGTAGCGCTCTCTTTCGAAGGAAGCATGTGTCGCAAAAGAGGGGGAAGACACGCGCGGATTGATGAACGAGAGAACCAAGAGACGCTACGTTGCGCTACTGAGGCAGATGCGTCTCTCCTGATTACTCACTCAAGAGTATTAGGATGTTGGTTACTGTATGTTGATTGTGTGTTCGTACTATGTTTTCTAGATGTAGAAAAGGAGCCAGGCTTCCAGCGTGTGGCGTTCTGCTCTATCACTTGGTGCAATCGATGGCTAATGCGGTAGCGCCCTTTCGCACTATTCTTGGCCGAAGGCTATTTTGAATTATCAAGTCTATTGTGACAGGCAGTATTACGCATCGTAGATATCGTTTCATATAGTAAGAAAATGACTTATGTTTAGATAATGTTGCATGGAGTTTAGTCTCACTTACTCCATGGAATTTCCACTCTTCGTCTCTTGTAAGATGTGCGCTGCAGAATATCACGCCTGATTGTGACCACCAAAACTCTAAGTAAGAGCTCAATAAAGACTGTCATCGCCTATGTTCAATTAAGTCCTTGACTATGCTTCCCCATGCGAGCCTAGCCGAGAGCCTAGGATTGTAGTATATGTATAGGTGTACTGAGACGGGCGTGTCTGATGCGGTGTATTTTTCTTGGGGTGGAATTGGGGAGGAGCTGCGCAGTGTTCTTTGATCAACAATTCAGTCATTATATATGCATTGTCGTGTGCGAGTCGCTGCTAGGGGAACAACTAGCAGATTATCGTGATATGGCCCGATCAGAGCTCCAGTGACGGCTCGCAGCGGCTGGTCATCATGACTTTGAGTGCAGATGTGCTCAGGGGGCTCTCAGCAGATACGATTCCAGTGAAGCTCGTAGAGATAGATAACCACAATGTCGGCGATACTCGGAGCGAGCGAGGAAGCCTGAGCCGAGTAGATTGATAGGCAGCAACCACAACAATAATAACGTAAATAGTGCCTATTAGCCGAGTAGTAAAGGCATACAACTCTTGCAACAACCAATAGTGATCCCTCGTTCTGCCGACAAGAGGTACAACCTCCCTGACCTACACGACTTTCCCGACTCTATCTGCTTGATTGCGCTACCCATAAACCTCTACAATCTAGCAAATATCGAATGCAATCGCCACAGAGATGCCCAACTACGCGCGACAGAGTTCCTTGGACCTGGACGAGATATTCGGCCACTATATCAAGAACGACAGCAACGCTGCCATGATGAGAAACATTCGTACGAAAGAGAGAATGAGCAGCGCTGTATGTAGCCGGGAGGGACTAGACTTATGTTGAGAGAATACACTGACCTGTCCAACCACAGCATCACTGCGAAGACAAGGAGTGTGGCGGCGGCCCATCCATGAGATGTGTCAGCGCGCTGCACTTCTGCTGGTGTCTTGCTCCCGTTGTCGACCAGGACAAGAAGTCAGATACATACAACAAGGTCGTGATCTGTGGGCAGCGCTTTCAGTGCATCTCCCCTAAAGGATGCGCCGTGCATCCATACCTGGCGGGCTACAACCTCGACGTCAAGAACGCGCGCAACAACTACCCGAATGTCGAGATCGAGTGGAAGGCTATCTTCGAGTCATTCAAGGCTGAGCATGATGCAAACGTGGCAGACGAGACGGAGCAACGGGAGTTAGTGAGGAAGGAGGAAGGGATGACCGAACCTCAAAAGAACCGCTACCGGAAGCTGCAAGACAAAGCTGCGTTCCAGAGAAGCCTCAAGAAGGAGCTTGGTGTCGACCAAGAGGATACTGGCCTGGAAGTAGGACAGTCTCCACCATGTCCACCTACCACGACTCCCGCAAGACCCAGCCGGAAAGATACCAAGAAAGCCAAGAGGCAGAGAGCACGCAGAGGCCGCGATAATGCAAAGGTTGTCGAGGACATGGCCGAGGAAGACGATGTGTCAAGTGAGACAAGGGGTCTAGAGGTGAGATCGGCGTAAGAGGAGGCAAGACGCTCCCGAAGCTAAGGCTGGTTGCCCGTGGAAAGACCGGATGACCGAGATGACTCGATAATTCAAGGTCTGTCGAAGGAAGGCGACATTATAGCGTGGCGTGTGGGCGAGCATAGGTTTGGTGGATGGTATGGAGTATGCATTGGGATAGTGCTAGCCCTGGAGAGCTTCGGCAGTCAGGCGGCAAAAGACTTCGAATGAGAATTTTGAAACGTACAATATCACGATCACATTGGAACACGCGTTATATCGCGTCATGATGGTATGAATTGCCGCTTTCGACGTCTTGTGTATGTGTCGACGCGTAGTGTTGTTCTAAGGACGCGCAAGAAGGAGCGTGGCCATAGCGCTAATCGATGACGTTTACCGGTTATGTAAGCCCACAGCCCCGTGGATCCTCGGTAGCTGTCAGTCCATGCCACTACCCACAACCCTAGCATCCAAAAATGTACTTCTCCATCAACCCACGCCAGTCTATTGTCTTGTCCGCACAAGCAGCAAAAAATTCACTCCTCCGGGAAGGCTCGAACTTCCAACCTCCTGATGACTGCTACTGCAAGCTGTAACAGTCAGACGCGCTAGCCAATTGCGCCACAGAGGACAACTGAATTGTGATGTGCAAATCCTCGATTGACTGGATCGTGATTCCCGGGCGTGCTCAATCCATCACCCCTTCTACATGCCGACCTTCGGCTTTCCAGTCCATACAGGTGGGCCCGGGATGTTGTATACCTAGTAATGTTGTCAGCACAAGGCTTTTGCAGCAACCCGTGTCTATCGAGCGTACCTTCTTTGCCGAAACCTCGGGATCGTAAATGTCGATATTGATCTCGGGTTCTATCTATCATCAGCCGCATGCTCATTCCGGACATTGGCATACGTACGATTCATACTCCACAAGCCTGGAATCTTGACCATATACTCCTCGCTAGGAATGGAGCCTCCCTCCTTATTGTTCGTGACTTCCAAATGCGCGCATTCGGGGTAAAATTGTGGTTCTACGCACCCCAGATCGTTAGCGCGTTGCACCTTCCGTCATCCTCAAAGAGCTGCATCTGGACGAAGGAACCTTGGACGTACTATTCGCGGAATGCAAGCTGATAATCTCATGCCTCACCAAGTATCTTCCCGCCTTCAGTCCTACAGGCACCGTCTCACTCCATAGACTTGGACTTCCGTCCCACATACTGAACGCCTTCTGGAACCACTCTCCAGTCTCGATGCTTCCTTCCAACAACCCCTTCTCTCCGATCTTGAACCAACCTGCCGTCTCGCTAGAAAAGGTCGCGCAGTCGTTCTCAGCGTTGTCGCAGTATGCCATCCAAGCTATCATGGGACCGACGGTGTGCACCCAGTACGAGTACACAGCGGTTATGTTTTCGCCCGCGCGAATCGGTATGTATGCGCGGGCGGGTGTACCGGGGGTGTTGCAGGAAAGGGACGTGTTTGTGGTTTCGAAAATGGGGTTGTTGGAAACCCATTTTCGTTGTGGCATCCATGCGGCGGCATCCTGCATGGTCTGGTCGCCATAAGGATCGTAGCTATGAAGAGCGTTAACTGGATTGAGTTGTTTACATTCTTTGAGGACTATGCATCTTGACCTTACCCAGGGTACCATGTGTCTCCGACAGTATAGTTCAGAGCTCCGCCATGAGCGGAGGCTCGATGGGTTAAGAGTATGGCGGTGGATGCGAGAAGACGCCACATCGTGAATGTCCTTACCCTGGGCGGAATGCGATTACAAGTAAATGTTCGAGCAAGCTGATCTACTTTTAGGAAGATATTTCGTCTTGTCGTCTGCTCAAAGTTCCTCAAAGAAACCAGGACGACCGGCGCGAAGCTCCCCACATGGCACCAATGTCGGCCTCATATAACGTACCAGATATCCAGTGCAGCCAACCTTTCATCCGCGGACCTCAGTAAGCAGCACTTGCTCATTGCCATGTACCTATATTGCGCTACTCTCCCGGCCTCACGAGGCTTATCTAAAAGCTGCGCCTGACGTCAAGCTTCGTCCGGCACTTAGAGTAGCTGGGTTAGACTCTGAGGGTTCGCCGACAAGTAACATCGAGTCCTCGTGTTTCATATCGGCAGTTGCAAAGTGGTAGACGTGGAATGCAGGGATACAGACATATGCGGGTAATGTGCGAAAAATGCTTGTTATGAAGCTTGATTGCGAGCAACTTGCTCTTTATCCGGAGCTACCTAATAACGGCTCTGATGATCGTTGTACTCCATGTGGTGCCACAAGATACAAACACTACATGATGAGACGAAAAAATCGACTTCCACGAATGACAGTCGACCCCACTCTGTCAATGCGGAGCTTGTGGGTGTATATAGTGACCAAGCTCAGACATGGCAATGCCAAACTACCTCCAGCTCCTCCAAAATGCTCGCCCGAACCTTTGTTGCAACCCTCGCACTTGCTTCGGGTGTTCTCGCTGCGCAATTGACACAAGTCTCGAACTATGGCGGTAGCGCGCGAGCAAAGCCAGGCATGTGAGTAATCCACGCCCCTCCTTTCCAAGGTTGCAATGACTGACACGCTACTCAGGTGGGTGTATGTGCCTGACCAGGTCAAGAGCGATGCGCTAGTCGTGGCGATCCACTCATGCCAGTCGTCGGCACAGAAGTATTTCCAAAACTCCCTGATTCCATGGAAGAAAGGGTCGGATAGCAAAGGCTACGTGACGGTCTGGCCGAGCTCCACGACTGAGTGCTGGGACGTATCCAGCAAAGCTTCGTTGTCGCATAATGGCGGTGGCGATTCGAATGCTATTGCGAACATGATCGTCTATGCGATCGACAAGTACAAGATCGACCCCAAGAAAGTCTTCGTGACGGGTGGCTCCTCAGGTGGCATGATGAGCAACGTTCTGGCCGCCACCTATCCCGAGCTCATCAGCGCAGTGTCTCTATACTCGGGTGTGCCGGCTGGATGTTTCGTCTCTGCATCCGGAGCAGCGGCAGCATGGAATAATACCTGCTCTGGCGGACAGTCCATCTCGACTGCGCAGCACTGGGGTGATGTAGTTCGAGGGATGTATCCCGGGTATAACGGAACACGACCGCGCATGCGTAAGTCCAAGGCTAAGTGCGCTCATGAACCACGTACTGACTTCTCAAGAATTTTGGCATGGCTCGGTTGACGGAACGCTGAGCCCGAAGAACTACGACGAGACGCTGAAGCAGTGGACCAACGTGTTTGGCGTCAGCACCACGCCGACGAGCTCGAAGAAAGATACGCCAGAGCGCAACTACCGTACTGACGACTTCGGTCCGAGTGTCGAAGGCATCTGGGCAGTAGGTGTCGGCCATAGTGTTCCTTCGCATCTGACCGTATCGGAAGCCTGGTTTGGGCTATGAGCGTTCAATGGCTCTCGCTCCTACGATGCGCTTCCTTTGGTACTTCCAGCGTAGCCCGTCGTTCTGGTCGACAGACAGGGCTGATATCGGGACGAGGCGAATCCTGTATAGGTGGCGGAGACGTACTGCCCTCAATCCCTGATGTAGATGCAATGCTTGCCGCATATACGCTGTTTTCCCTCTCTTCGCGGAGCTTGCTGTACGTGCGACTGATCCTTTCTAGATCGGGATTTCGTAGGATCTCGCCAGGAACTTCGGGAAACCTATGAGTGTCTTCGTCATTGCCGACATGATCTGTATCGAGCTTCTCATGCGCAGCGTCGCCGAGGTAATTGCCAGCAGACGTCAGCCATTTACGCACAACGTTTCTACCAGCTGTCGGCTGATCAGCTTGGGTATTCTCTTGTTGATCATCGTGAGAAGAAGGGCTGGGTTGAGGGTGTTCGGAGCCGGGGTGCGTAATAGTCGGGATCAGTTCAATAGCATTGGGCGACTCTGAGCGTATGCCCAAGCCATTCTCTGTAGTACCCTTGGGGCTGAAGTAGGTCGAGGAAGGAGGCCGCGGAGATGGTCGTCGTTCGCTACTACGACTGGGGCGCGATGAGCCAGAGTTCTCACAATGGTCCACATGCTTCTCCTGCGGAGCCTCATCACCACCAGTCGACCACAGGATATATAGAGATCCAAGTGCGGCCAAGATTGTTCCAGCTATGGGTGACCATTGCCCTGGGGACTGTGTTAGCACCGAACATACCACTGCGCTACACTACTCACCAATCGAAGCCATAGGTTCCGTCATATACCGCACCTGGGGACTGAAGAAATTTGCTTCGCCAACCCCAATGATTGTGATGATCACTCCGCCGAATAGGGGGATCTCTATGACACTCAAGAACTTTCTCACGACGTTGTTGATACCTTTCATCTCTCCAACGGTCATGTTGGCGCCCTCGATCCGAGCGTCTAGCGGCTCCACGTGACGCCGTCTTTTCCAGTTGATCTCCAGAATTTTATCCCAGGTGAATATCAAGGACAGTATCGCAGGTATGCAAAATCCGGCCGAGAGCAGCATGGCGGCGTTGAAAGTCAGGATGCGCGGCACGGGAATGACATAGACGTCGGCGGCAGATCCGCCTCGCATCGGAGAATTTGGACCCACGCTTTCAGAGCAAGTCAGATTGCAAGTAGCATGCTCGTACGGAAAGTTAGCGGCACCTCGGAAAGGATTCCCATTATCGTCGCTGCTACAGGCCGTTGGAGTGACCCGGTAGAACTCGACGCAGAGGGCCAACAGCCCCATCAGGATCAGTATCGTCCAGAGAAATATGATGTTGCGACCGGGAGACTGGAAATAAGTTCGCGACAATCTCACAGTGAGAGGCGCTGCTAAAATGCCAATTGCGCAGAACTGGAAAGCCTGCACAGACGAAAACGTTCGATCAGTGTTTGTCGCACAGCATATTGACACCAAGAACTTACGCCGTAAATATCCATATCGACGCCGCCTGTTCGGATTCTTGGTCAGAAATGCGCTTCTTGGAGTTCTTGGTGGCCGTTATACTGACCATTCGTATGCGCGGCTGCTAGCACGAGGGCCTGCAGGGCCGATATGGCCGGCAGAATTAAAACGGCAGCCAGACAGGTGTTCCGTAGCCATTCTGCTTTGCGAAAAGTTACACATGCGGCAACAAGAACATAGTACAGGATCTGTATTCATGCATCAGTTTTCTGATAGGTCCAGACCCACTCTACACGTGGGAAGGAGTTGGTACTAACACGCGACCCTGCTCCATAGTTGGACGAGATGGGCCAGGCACAGACAACTTGTAGCGTTGGGCTAGACGTTGTAGCGGACGAAGTAGCGGTCGCAAAATCGGATAGCGCTGTAGTTGCAGACATGCTTCCCTGGTATGGGTAAAGACAGATGAGATGAAGACATTGCTGGATGAGCCGACACGAAGGAAGAGCAGCGGCATAGGTATTGCGCAGCGCGCATAAGGGCGCGACTCCGGGGTAAGGCGTGCCATGTAGATCTCCAATGGTTTGGGGCAATGCAGATTACCGGTGAACTATATCGTCTTCGCCTGTCGCAGTTGCATAGGGCGAGAGGCTGAGTGGAAGGCATGACCTGTCAGCGCTGGACCCTTTCTCGATACGGGAGGCGCTACTCGCTAGCGGCCCAACCGGCGCCGAGATGCCATCATCTTGTCATCCTGGGCTGCGAGCTCAGCCTCCTGGGCTGCAGATGTCGCGACAATACAAGAGCCTCACTTGCCTGCCGCCATGCCCATGTCGCGCGTCATCGTACAAGCAATTTCTCGGCATCGGTACTGAAGTTCACGGTTGCGACGGAGGCCCAGGCACGCCGGCTCACAGATCGCCTGCAACGTCTAGCGGGCGTACGTACCCATCAATCGGCCCTTACCCAGAACCCAAAAGCTTGTTCTTGCACGTTTTAAACGTCAGGACACCTCCTGGGGTTTTTCTGGCCCCAAGATCATCTTGCAGTGTGGATTTCCAGCATTGCTACGGGGCGCAACATGTTGAACCAGCGCGCCACAGAGACAGAGAGGCCTGACCTTGATACTAGCAAGATCAAAGAGTGGCGCTCTATAGTGACGCTCATTGTTTTCGTATTGACAAGTAAGTAGCGTGTGTGTACTGACATTGCAGATGGCGAACTAACGAGCAAATGTTTGTAGACATCAATGTTCTTTTTCCATTCCACATACCCATCTATGTGCCGCGGATAATATGGACCCCATTCGTCAAGACCATGAGCGCGTTGCGCATCATTGCACCACCACAACACCCAACGAGGGCCCGGAATGGCAAACCTGGACCATTCGTCCGGTTCGACTTTCCCATGAACTTCATAACGACACCTCTGGTAGCGGATCTCTTTCTACTAGCCATCCTTGCTATTGGCGCAAAAGAAGTAAAGGGTGGCACCCTGGGTGATCAGGGTATTGTTCCATACGATATCATGCTGTTCTTCCTCTCTCTTGCTTACATCGCCATTTCTGTTGATGCTTCCGGTCTCATTAGATGGCTAGCTTTCAAGGTGTTGCAGAAAGGAGGGAAAGTCGGTCACCGGCTTTTCTTCTACCTGTATGCCTTCTTCTTCCTTCTCACTGCGTTCATCGGTAACGATCCGGTCATTTTGTCTGGCACCGCGTTCCTGTCGTACATGACGCGTGTGTCAAGCAACATCAAGCATCCAAGGGCGTGGATCTTCACACAGTTCTCGGTCGCCAACATAGCATCGGCGATACTGGTATCATCCAATCCGACCAACCTAGTCTTGGCCGGCGCGTTTGGGATCACATTCATCAAGTACACGGCCAACATTATCGTACCAGTTCTTGTCACGGGAGTTGTACTGTATCCTTTCTTGTTGTACATCATCTTCCACGACGAATCTCTCATCCCCGCCTCTATCAAGATGGAAGATCTTCCAGATGAGCTCAAGGTAAGCACTCCCACAAGCGAGGTGTTATAGTATGTGCTGACAAAGCTTCCTCCAATAGAACAAGAAACCGGTCAATCCCAATATTCCCTTCGCCAAAGGTGCACTCGAAGACAACGAAAGCGATCCCAACAGTGACGACGACGAACAAGAGAAGAAATTATCCCTCGAGGAAGTCCTGAACCCCTTCTTGGATAGGAAAGGCGCAATGTTTGGAGCAGCCATCATGGCAGCTACACTGATTACTGTCTTGGCGATCAATGCTGCCTCTCAAGGCTCTCATGAACGTCCGGTGTTCTGGGTCACTTTACCCGCTGCATTCGTCATGCTTATCTTCGATCTCACAATGGGTTGGCTCAACCGGGCAGAGACACGTAAGATCGCCCACGAGGGCCGACGCAGAGCAGAGGCCGCACTTGCTGAAAGAGCTGAGACTAGGAGGCAGTCTGTCATACAAGAAGAGCTGGACGCGACCGCCACTCAAGCGGATCACAAAACGGCCCAGAACCCCGAGGAGAAGTCGCGGCCATTGGCTGAGGCGTCCAGTCACATATTGAGCGGTCGAACACGGGAGATGATGGGCGCTGAACTCGTATCGCAGGACGAGAAGAGGCTAGAGCCAGCCAAGAGGCCGATGCCAACCACACTCGCGTCACTCGTCGCAGACACGTATAGATGGGCACAGGAGACGTTTCCGACAACTATGACCGTATTCCACCACCTCCCGCTGGCGCTTGTTCCTTTCGCCTTTTGCATGTTCGTGCTGGTCCAGGCTTTGGTCACCAAGGGCTGGGTTCCGGTCTTTGCACATGGGTGGGACCACTGGGTTGAGAAGACAGGGACGGTTGGTGCGATTGGAGGCATGGGCTTCGTTTCAGTCATACTGTGTAACGTGAGTGTTTATTTCGCCATAAAACTCCAGTAGCTAACCTTGGACCAGTTTGCTGGAACTAACATCGGCACCACAATTCTCATCTCTAGGGTGGTACAATCGTGGCAAGAAATCCACCGTCAAAACGGCATTCCAATATCCGATCGAACGTTCTGGGGCACGATATACAGCATGGCGATTGGCGTGAATTACGGTGCTTTCAGTCTCGCCTTCAGTGCATCGCTGGCGGGCATGCTCTGGCGCGATATTCTGGGCAGAAAGCACATCCGTGTTGGTGGTCTGGAGTTTGCGCGCGTCAATCTGCCCATCATCGCGATCACCATGCTCGTCGGTCTGGTAGTTCTTGTTGGCGAGATCTACATCATGAGGACGGACGCTCCCTATGATAGGTGATGGGGCAGAACATCGAGGCTATCCATATGGATTGCGAACTGCGCTGTATGCCACTTCAGAAGTACTGTTTCCTCTCCCGACCTTCTCAATCGCCATCGCCACATTTGGGCATACAGCAATAGTCTAGAATAGACTGTGCTCCTCCTCCGTTCGGGCAATTGTACTCTTCGGAGACTTCGTTCTTTGAAGATGGTACTAGGCTCAGGGACGAGACAAGCGTCGGCAGTTGGCGAGAAGGGACCAGGGTATGGATGAACGGCGGATGAAGCATTGGGATATGCAAATGGGGAAACGGAGGCTCGAAAAGACAGATACGGCGCGAGGCCGTCATACACACATCCGCAATGGACGACGAGGACGGGTCGATGCAAGATTCTAGACCATAGACGCGCGCGACACCAAGGCCGGAAGGACTGTCTCAATCATAATCAACACTCTACTCATACCCTCTCTCTTCAACGGCAACACGAACGTCGTAACTGCCCAGTGTCTCAAAGCTCGGTCCCTTTCTCGTGACACCACCAGTATTGCGTTAGCGCGTCATTAGCGCGGAACCTGACATCCGCTATCCCACGCCTACGACTCCCAATACTTTCACAAAAAACACTCTCAGCGTAACATCTATATTTGAGTCCTTAGCATGGCAAACGCAAGCTCTTTCCGCGACAATGCGCCCACGCTGGAGGCAACCGAGGCAGAGCTGTCAAGGTCAGTGATAACATTCGCGACATCTATAAACGATTGCTCACACCTTATAGGCTTCTCGCAGAAGAGATTTCTGTCCAGACCGAGTAAGTCCTGTCTTGAAGCAATCGCACAAGGGTTCATGGCTGAACTCCCACGCAGGCTTGATGAACTCAAGAACAAGGTTGCAGAGCTCGAAATCAGGCGAACAAATGTGGGCAAGGAGTGTCATCACCTCACCCGCATCGTCGCTGAGAAGCTCTGCCGCAAATTCGTCGACAAGTTCCACACCACTCTACCACCAGAGCTCCGCGAGATGGTCTACGACTACGTCTGGGACGAGCCCATGCTCAGGCTAGTCTTTGATGACGTGACCTTGTACGAGAAGACTTCGAACACTACAAGTTTCCCGCCGTCCGTCGCGTCGATCGGCCGTCGAGTGCGGGACCGAGTGCGGGATCGAGGGCGGGACCGAGGGCGGGAAAAGATCAATTTCGCGCCTTGGTCCATACCCTGCAGGGGAGACAGCTGTCGCTGTTTCCATTGGTGGGAGCTTCCGCTCTGGGCTCAGCACCAGTATGTGGGAATGGACGTCGCGAAGGAAGTCGCCAAGGCATACTATCGCATCATGCGCGGCCATCAGTTGGACGCTAATCACCTCCACGAACTAACCAACTTCCTGTCTGAAGATCACTTCCACCTCGGCGTCAAACCTCTCGACCACATCCGCCGTCTAGAGCTCTCCTTTGGGGATGAGGCTTACATCCAAAACGAGGGCCGATCGAAACACTCTTTTCAGACCAAGAATGGCCAAGACATCTTCCAGCACTGTTTCGAAGAGCTCTTGGACTTGCGTGTCAAGAAGGGTTTCCACCTGACGATCAAGCTCCAATGGGACGGTGATCACATCTACTGTATGCCGGCTCTGGAGCGCTCCCGCAAAGTGGTTCACGCGTTGATGAAGGAAGGCGCTAAAGTCACTGTACTTGCTTTTGAGATGAACTACCGCAAAGAGTACAACGTCTCAGATTACTACGCACTTTCGCAGGAAGACTGGCAGGCAAAGTGGATAAAGAGGATGCGAAAAGCCCATCGCCTCCAGCGCCGTCCTCCTGCCTCCCTTAGCCAATCTATGATGGCGTTTATTCATGGTCACACTGGAACTGATATCGACATCCTTGACGAAGACCTCGTGGGTGATTCAGAACAAGATAGGTTGGAAGATGATGCGTTTGTGAGGGCTATGGCCGGCTTGAAAGCTCCTCCCGACCCGAGCGCTCTTCTTTTTCCCATGTGACGGCTTTGGACACGTATGCGCTGTTGTCCAGCGTCTGGTACGTCCGAGCTTACTCCTGGATACTACTGTTTGAGTCGAGACTAGGGAGGCACGAAGGGGTATGCTTGGCCAGCGGACGGAACACTCGGTGCTACAAGCCACTTAGGGTCAATCTCATACTGCTGTAGCCCTTCGATGTACAACAAGACAAAGTTAACCCATCACTCTTTTTTTCACATCCATCGCAGAGTATCGCAAGGACAACACAGTGAGACAACCAGTTCAGAAGTTATAAGTGATGCGCAACAGCCAAAATGGCGTTGCAAGATAAGTTCAATTGATTCATGCCAGATCCCCACCAAATGTTTTGTTGCCTAGTAAAAGACCCCGCCGGACGTCACATCGCCCCGTTGATCAACACCAAGATACACCCTCAAGGATGACGACAAATCAGAATCTCTCCAAAGAAACAAGCCCATCGATAAGAAGGCTCTGGCAATTGCAGGCCAAAGAGTAAACGCCAAAACGCACACCCAGATGTTTTGTGACCAGCAGAAGAAATAAAGGAAATCGACCCGTACCCGACCAGCGCCATGCTTGCTATGTACATTTGCTGCAGAAGAAAAAGGAAAACTAGAAGATCGCAAACGGAGATTAGAAAAGTAGCGATTAAGTGGTATCGTGCTTAGGACATTACAAGGAACTTCGTAGACAGGGGTGTCGCTGGATAGAGATGATGAATCCAGCGAGAAAGATCAGATGAGAGCGCAGCAAGATAATGCATCACTAGCGCTACGCTGCGGGCGAGGTCATGGGTGATATGGCAGGCGATTCATCGGCACGCCGGTTATCGCTCGTTCCCGAAACGATGGTGAATGGCGCCGTGGACCCCGCCGCTGGTGGGGCAGGCTTCATCGCTACACCATTTGGCTTCGGTGTCAAGACCGCAGAACCGGGTGGCGTTGTGTCCGACTCTTCTTCTGGAATGGTAGGACAGTATGTTTTGAGGACGTGTTTGAGGGCGGGGCGGCGGATAGGTTTCGAGAGGAAGAAGTCCATGCCTGAGTCAAGGCATTCCTATGACTTGTTAGTATAACAGTAGCGAGATCAGGACGCTGATTACATACCTTCACGTTACTCTCCTCCGCGTAAGCCGTCAGAGCGACGATGGGGGCCGAGAAACCAGACTGCCGGATCAGTCGCGTTGATTGCAGACCATCCAGGTTGGGCATTTGGACATCCATGAAGATGAGGTTGTATGGAGCTTTGCGTTCCATACTTTCCATGACCAAGTCGAGCGCTTCCTGACCGTCCTTTGCGACAGTGACATCGTACACATCTTCAAGCTTCAACATGCGCAGTACAACCTCTTGATTTGTCTTGTTGTCTTCGGCGACGAGGACCTTTACTTTGTCTCCACGTTTTGTTGCTTCGGCTTCAACACGCTTCATAGCGGCGACCTGCGAGTTTGGTGATTCCAATGGCGCATTCGAAGCGAAGAAAGGCTGACTAAGACCGACAAGACGAGGCTGGGTATCGGTGTCGAATGCAACTGGCCCGGACGGAGCAGTAGCAGCGGTGTTCCCAGCGACGATCGGGCCACTTGTAGCGGACTGTATCGAGCGGGCCGAAAGCGCGTCATCATGTGAGCGACCTCGCGGCGGCTCGTCGATCGATAAGCTACGGCGCGGTGTCCCGGTTTCCAGGTTCACGTTCCTGGAGCTGGCTGTACTGTCGGCCCGACTTGTAAGGTGCTTCAACGGTATTACCATAGTGAAGACGCTTCCGTGCCCGACCTCACTCTTGAGACCGATCGTGCCCTTCATCAAACCAGCCAGCTGCGAGACGATACTCAGGCCAAGACCGGTGCCACCAAACTTCTTGCTTAGACCCAAGTCGCCCTGGACGAAAGGCTCGAATATCTTGGCATGTAAATGGTCGGGAATACCTGGACCAGTGTCCTCGACTTCGAACTCGAAAGACAACCACCGTCCCGGTGGGGGTGTTGGGGCTCGCTCCTGAGCCATATAGCGGGAGAACGCATCTCCCTTGCCCATGACGTTGATGACGTTGGCGGTTCCGAAGTTGTCGCTCGGTGTCGCAATTGAGACGGATCCTACCTCTGATGCGGAGGCTCTTACGCGAGTTTTCGAGTTGCGCGTTGAGCTCTGCCTTGATTGCAGAGACGCCTTGCGACTGTCTGACATGTGTGCCTCTCCAGGACAACGGATAGTGAGCGTGACCGAACCACCCTGTGGCGTAAACTTGAGACTGTTCGATACCAGGTTGATGACCACCTGAAGAATTCGATGTTGATCGCCGTACAGAACCATGTCCTTGAGTCGACCAAGCCCGAAAGGTCCGAGGTCGCGAAGCTCGTTCGGCCGTCCGCTATCGTCCAGGTTGTTCTCGTATGGTCCTTCGAATTCGACAGCGAGCTTGATGCCGCCCTCTCTTGCTTGCTTTTCGAAAATGGCCAAGACTTGAGAGCTGATGTCCCGTAGCCGGAACTCTTTCTCGTCAAGACTGAGCTGTTGACCGACCTGGTTCTTGCTAAACGTCAAGAGATCTGTCAATAGATTGAGTAGCAAGTCTCCACTCTTGTAGATGATGCCTAGCGACCGTCTCAACTTGTTTGGGTCGTCTTCCGACATGCACACGGCGCACATGCCCAAAATACCGTTGAGTGGTGTCTTCAATTCGTGCGAGATGTTCGCAATGAACAGCGTCTTGCTCTCGTTTGCCGCCTCGGCCGCCTTCTTGCTCTGTTCGAGCTCAGCTGTTCTTTGTGCTACCCGCTCTTCTAGTTTCTCATATTGCATCATCAACTCATCCGTCATCTCGTTGAAGGTTGTTGTCAGATCCGTGAGTTCATCGTGAATGAAGTGTTTACGGTCTTTGACTTTGCCTGGAATGCGGAACTGTCTCCGCCTCTCGGCTTCCTTCTTCTCTGCTCGGTTCATCTTTGCGTTTCTCCGGTAATGTATGATTTGACCAAAGAAGCCCTCTTTGCGGGCAAGGGCCGCATCTTCCGAACTGTCGTTGGCGCCATCGTTTTGCGAGCTGAAGTCGTCGTCCTCAAACATGTGAGGTGCTACTGTCTTTTTGGTAGCGTCGCGTAATCTTCGGATGGGCTGGCTGGAGAAATGTGCCACAGGAAAAGCCAGAAGTAGCATTGCACCCATTGTGCCAAACACACAGGCAAGTATGACGTTCCGGAGGTGATAGATGGGTCCCCAGACTTCGTCGTGGGTCTGCTCTACCACAATCATCCAGTCGACCATGGGACTGTTGACGACAGCGTACCCAACGGCAACATCGTCGCCATCCTCGTTTCTGGTCGAGATGATGCTACCAGCATTGTTGGTGGCGCCGGTCGGCTTGGTGAAACCCTTGCGAATGGCGGGATATCTTGCCCAGTCGAATGGAGGCGGGTCAAGAGAGGTGTCGTATTGGCCATGCCGTTGCACCTTTGCTCGCTGTGTTGGCGGGGCGAGGTAGCGAACCTGTACGTTCTCGGGAGCGTTGGGGGTATCGGCGTCGTACAGATATGCCGGAGGAAAGGTATTCGTGGCATTGTCCGGGCCGAACAGCAGGGTCAGACCACTGTTGTCTAGACCTTCCATGGCGTTGACGACATTGGTAATCAGCGACGCGTCCAGGACAGCCGTCAGCCATCCTAGGGTGTCAATGTTGGACGTGTTGTTGATGATGGGTATGGTGACCGAGACCAAGCTGAGTGTTTCGTTGACGCGATAGGGCCCAGTGAAGAGGTAGCTTGTGTTGTCAATGGTCCTGCCTTCGTAGTGTGCCTTGTAGGTGTTGAAGGTGTCGTTGTAGGGAATCGTCTCAACAGAGAACTTGGGGTAGAGCTCGGGAATGAAGCCGTACTCCTTGTCGCCTAGCGTCGCATTCGTGCCGTCGGGCTTAAGTATGGGCAGCACAACGTCCGTCATGCTCTGTGCGGTCCGGCTGAAAACGGAGCGCTCGGAGGAATTGAAGGGGTATATCTGGGCCTGGACAGCCACACGAGTTCTCATATCACCAGAGAAGATGGCATCGTAGTCCTCCTCGACTCGGGCCCAGTTCGCTTCCGAGGTGTTGCCGTCGTAGTATCGGTTGAGGGCGGCCTGCGGGGAGAGGCGGTTCGCAGCCTGCTGGGACAGGATTTGCATCAAGTTCAGATTCGAGGAGAGCTGGGCGGCTTTGAGCGAGGCTGTCAGCGTCAGGCGAGTCGAGCGGATGTTGAGCACGAAGTTGTGGTTGGTGAGCTGGCAAAGTCAGTACCAGCATGGACGAGTATGCAGCGTCGATATGTACCCATGTTGCGACGGCTATGACGGCCAGGCCTATCATGGACGCCAGCAGAACCAGACATCCCAACTGTTCGCGGATGGGAATCCGCATCTTGACCATGGCTCTGCGAAGAGTCGCAGGCTATTGTACCGACGTGCTTTGAGGGGAGCAACGCAGCCCGGGAATAGTGGGAGGATGCGCAGCCGGGGCGGATCTCACTCAGCTGTCCAAGCGGTACCGGCGAGCTGACAGACGCGATGACGGGCGGGTGTTGTGGGTAGACAGAGGGGAGTGTGCGAATCCCATTCCTCGCAGCGGGCGGCGGCGGAGTTTTCCAAGCGTATCGTCGACGATCAGTACAGGATCTCGATTAATCTGGGGCGCGGCTCAGAGGGCAGGCACGCAGGCGAGGTGGAGTGAAAGCACGACCAAGGCTGCTAGGCCCGAAGCAGCGCGACAGGTGCGTCGGCCTCTGGTGGTGCAGGGTTTATATTGCTTTTGGCCGCAGGTCCCGGGCGAACGATTGCGAGCAGCGGACTGGCGAAAAGAGAGGACGAGCGGGTGCTCTGGCGGGCGCTGGCGATGAGTGTGAAGCTGGACGAGCAGCTCGGCGGCGGCGGCTCGGTGCAGGTCGCAGTCGCGTCCACGGTGGTGGAAAAGGGCAGAGGGCGGGCCTCCCGGGGCGAGATTAGGCGTTGGTCCCTTTGGGCTAGACGCCTCGAACG